TTGAACTCTTGGGCTCCAAGGGATACCCCCGCTTCAGTCTCCCAAGTAACTAGGACTATAGGTGCGCACCATCATGTCCAGCTAATTTTTATTTTTACTTTTTGTAGAGACAGGGTCTTGCTATGTTGCCCAGGATGGTCTCAAACTCCTGGCTCAAGTGATCCTCCTATCTTGTCCTACTGAAGTGTTGGGATGACAGACATGAGCCACTGCACATAGGCCAGTTATTCTTACTTTGGGATGGGGGCATTTTGAAAAGACCAATTCACTGCATACAGGTACTAAATGAGGATAAAAAAGAATGGTTCATAGCTAACAGGAAAAAAATATGTGGGCCTAAAAAAAATATCCATGAACTGTAGATCTGAACTGAGAAAATGATATCACTCTAAGAGGATTCTCAGGCTGGACTAGAAGTGACTCCGCAACCTAAACAAAGGTATAAACAAACATTTAATCTGAAGAAATAATTAAGATTTGTCTTCTTGGAACAAAGCAAAGGAATGAGTCATTCTAGGCATTTCTTAGCATGAGGTGCCAAGGCTGGCCAGAGCTCTGCTAGTTGCAGTAGGAGCAGTAACAGTGGTAGAAGTTGCAGTGGGCATTTCACAGTAATGTGAACTCTGTGTCCCTAAACTTGTTTATTTCTCAGGACTTATATTTCCAATTAAGGATTGCTGCCACTTGATGGGGAAGTGTTTGTATCTGTCAAGGATAGTGAATTATCAACAAAATATGATCTCATCAAAGAAAAATTTTCATCTAGAATAACCAGAATATTAACTTGAATATCTCTTATTAGTCAAGCACCATGCTTGGCAGGGAATTACGCAGAAGCTTTCCTTCCTTTTAAAGGCCAAAGGATGGTCACTGGCTGTGGCATTAGGACTTGTTTTCCGTAATCAAAACAGGCCCATCCAGCTTCTGCTCAGGGTCAGCTCATTCTACTTCTGAACCATTTTTTTTTGTCATATATGGAACATTTGTGTTCTGTGTGAACCTGAGTACTCATGGGACAATTTAGCTACTTGACTTCAAAGGGCCAACCTTTATTTCTTTGAATATCACAGATTTCACCAGGCTGGGTGCGGTGGCTCATGCCTGTAATCCCAGCACTTTCAGAGGGCAAGGTGGGCAGATCACCTGAGATCAGGAATTCAAGACCAGCCTAGCCAACATGGTGAAACCCATCTCTACCGAAAAAAACAAAAATTAGCTGGGTGTGGTGGTGTACACCTGTAATGCCAGCTACTGAGGGAGGCTGAGGCAGGAAAATCGCTTGAACCCAAGAGGCGGAGGTTGCAGTGAGGTGAGATAATGCCACTATACTCCAGCCTGGGTGACAGAGCAAGCTGCATCTAAAAAAAAAAAAAAAAAAAAAAAAGATTTCACCAAATGGAAATAGAATTTTCTATATCGCCTATGAAAAAAACCAGGGGAACTAAGTCAGAAATATATAGTTTATCCCAACCTACAGGAGCTGGTGGGTGAACACTTAACTCTAGGTTTGCTTCATGGTAAAGGGTCTGGGAAGAAAGCACACATTACTTATTCTCCCTTATTCCCTACTTCTGAGACTAAGCAAGGATATGCAGGTAGTACAATATTTCTACCTTGGGTTGAACCTAACTAGCAAAGGAAGTGATATTAGCGACCCTCTTAGAATTAGAGATGCTGACACCAGTTCTCTGTCCTAAGTCCCTTCTAGGGACCATGTAAAGGAGCCTCAGGGAGCGCCTCTGTCCTGGGCTCAGGCCTCATCATCATCCCAATCCCATTTCTACCTGTCCATTCTAATTTTTGCCCCTCAATGGTCCATGTTCCCAAAATTGTTATGTCAGAAGTATGTTTGGCTTAATTTATTGGCTTAATTGATTGCCTGGGGAGAAAAAGTTTAGTAATACCAAATATGCATACCCTTTTACAGTGAGGTCACATTAATAAGTACAACTTGGCTGGGCACGGTGGCTCACGCCTGTAATCCCAGCACTTTGGGAGGCTGAGGTGGACAGATCACGAGGCCAGGAGTTCGAGACCAGCCTGACCAACATGGTGAAACCCTGTCTCTACTAAAAATACAACAACAACAAAAAATTAGCTGGGCGTGGTGGCGTGCGCCTGTAATCCCAGCTACTCAGGAGGCTGAGGCAGGAGAATCGCTTGAACCCGGGAAGCAGAAGTTGCAGTGAGCTGAGATCATGCCACTGCACTGCAGCCTGGGCAACAGAGTAAGACTTTGTCTCAAAAAAAAAAAAAAAATAGGTACAGCTTTTTTACAGTTGCTTTTTATTTTTGTCTCCAAAAAAAAATAGGTACAACTTTTTTACAGTTGCTTTTTAAGGAGTAGCAAGCACAGTGATTCTAGTGCTTGCTCCTTAAAACCAGATTTGATACTGCCTCATTTTTTCCAAGGCCTCAAGAGGAAGGAAACTGTCACAGCAACGTTTTTGAGACATTTCCATGTACATAGCTACTTTTTAAAAAAGCTTTGTGAATAGGTGGACACCCTCTATTTCCTATGTCTGTGTTCTGTTTCTTTTAGAGTCCAATCTTCTGTGCCTTTCAAGTGATGAGTAGATAATAAGTAAATTTATTTGTGAAAATATGAGAGTCCTCCTCTCAGCATCCAAGCAGCTCTGCTGATTAAAGTCTCTCTTAGAAGGTGAAGCAAATACCCTTGGTGTCTAACCTGGAGCAGTGGTGCAAACTGAGGATTCCAGATCAAGTCAGAAATGATGAGTCTGCATGATTGAGTCATTTTTAAGTTGAGTATATCTGTTAAGAATTGTGTACAGCTGCAGGTAACAGACACACAACCACAGTGGCTTAACCAAATAGGGCTCTAGGTAGCAAGAAGCCTGAAGGCAGGTGTCTCAGGGCTCAGCGAATCATCCTGATTGCTTCTAGCTTCTTGCTCTGCCATCTTAGCAATGTAGCTCTATGACAAAAAGAGGGGACACAGGAGAGCAAAAGGATGTTGAGTTTGTCCTTTTCTTATTAGCACAATTACAGTTTTCCTTAAGGTCCTTCCTAGTAGAGTTCCACTTACATCTCACTGGGCAGAACCAGGTCACATGTTACCCTTAGCTGGATGGGATTTTGGAGAGGTAAGATTTTTGTTTGTTTGTTTGTTTGTTTGAAACGGAGTCTCACTCTGTCACCCAGGCTGGAGTGCAGTGGCACGATCTCTGCTCACTGCAACCTCCACCTCCTGGGTTCAAGCGATTCTCCTGCCATAGCTTCCTGAGTAGCTGGGATTACAGGTGAGTATCACCATGCCCAGCTAATTTTTTGTGTTTCTAATAGAGACAGGGTTTCACTGTTAGCCAAGACGGTCTCAGTCTCCTGACCTCGTGATTCGCCCGCCTCGGCCTCCCAAAGTGCTATTATTACAGGCATGAGCCACTGCACCTGGCCTGAGAGGTGAGTATTTTTAATAAGGCACATTGTTGCCTTGAACAAAATTGGGGTTCACTTGGCAAGGTAGAATCTCAATGGTTACGCAGCAAGCAGGGTCTGCCCTGAGGAGCCATGTGATACCTTTCAAATCTAGTGATTTTTAAGTGATTGTCTGAGTACGATGTAAATATCAGCTTCTTGGTTATATTTCTGTGATGAAATGGAGTTGTTTGCTTGCATTGTTTGTCTAGGAGAGGATGTGATGCCATGAATGGGTTATGTCTTTCCATTCTTATAAAGAACAGTGGCTGCTTCTTGGCCTTTCACAGTAAAGAACCTTTGACTTAAAATGTTCATAATGCAAATGCATAAAAGGACCACCCCTCCCAAAGTTCTCTGGCTTTTCAATATGATGAAACTAATAGGGCAACCACAGAAAAGGTAGAAATTCCTCAGACCTGTTTTCTGTTTTTCTCATGCTCAAAAGAAGAGAGGTTTTTCATCTCAGGACTGTTTCTTTGGGCTTGGGACCTTTTCTCCATCTTTCCTTTTTTAGTGTAGCTCTTACTTCACCTGTCTGCTTTATTCCAACTCTCAGTTAAAGGCAACCTTAATCCTTCCTTCTTGAAAAGGGATTTTGGGAAACAAATGAGGTACATCTGACTTTAAGAGCCAGGATCACTACATACTTTTTAATGTGTCTATAAAACTCTGAATGGTCTCCTTTTCATGTTTACTAGTTTCATTTCCTATTCAAGGCCACTAAGAGCCTCAAACTATGCCATGTGAGCAAATTACAGAATATGAATCCCCAGTCTTCAGGGTGCCGGGGTCAGAGCCTGAGGAAGCTAGAGCTTCCCTGCCTGTCATATTCAGTTGTAAGCATGGCTTCTGTTGAATCTAGTGTACCATACAAAAATTACCATTTTCTTTGTGCCATGAGGTCAGAAAGCACAGGAAATGCTGCTTTCAGGCCTGTTTGGGAGATCACCCTCTTTCTATTCTTCTTTCACACTAAAGCCTGTAGAGACTCCTTTTTTTTTCTTCTTATCTTGTCTCAAATATACACCTTTGGCTTTTTTCAAAAGACTGTCCTGGCAGATGTGATAAACTTTGTTTGTGTTTCCTAAAAACTGTTCCGGGCAAAGCTGTGCTGATTCTTGACTCACTTGTGTAGCTTAATGTCCCTTTTGTTCATCCCATCTTGAGCCCTGTTATATTCTCCTAGTTTTGCTCTTCCTTTGCTTTTTATAAAGGGGTTTTACAAATGGAAGCTCACCCCAACCCTTTTGTTATAAATTAGCTGATTGCCAAAGTTACAGCAGTTGTACCCTTTGTTCTTCACAGTTTTGTCTTGCAACACTGACCACTTTGGCCAAACCCAGAGATGCCACCTTCTTTCCACCAAGCCCCCTTTCTCCCACATAAATGCAAATGTAGAAACTTGGGTAATACTCTGCTAAGAGGTAGTCATTTAAAATAATGTGCATTATATTTTCTCATTTATCTTCTTTCCATTTATTTTAGAGCTTACGTTAGTCTTCATGCTAAGGAGAGATAGGTTATAATTAAGCTGAAAAGTGTTTCTTTGGTTTTTCCAGATGAGAATTCTCCAGCCAACTTCTGGGATTCTAAAAACAGGGGTGTGACTGGAACACAAAAAGGGCAAATTGTATGGAGAATTGAGCCTGGGCCCTATTTCATGGAACGTAAGTAATTGAGTGTGAAATATAAACTTATTATTGAACATTGCATAAGTATGCAGAAATCTATGGAGTCTTTTTGAATGTTATTTTGAAATTCTTTGGTTTGGATTTCCATTGCCACGATGGAAAATATATTGTTTTAGAGAATGCTCAGTAGGGGAGAGATCCAAGATGGCCCATTAGCAGTACCTCAGGATTGCAGCTCCCAGTGAAAGCACAGAGAGTGAGTGGATGCCACACTCCCAGACAAATTTTTGTTGCCCACAGACCAGGAGATTCCCAGTGGAGGAGTCCCATGGGTCACCAGTGTGGCTCTATTGGCTGGCACAGCTGTTTCGCCGGCACTCTGGTGCGGCAGTTCTCAGTGCGGAGTATACGGGACTGGGTGCCCTTTTAGTTGGTGTTTGGAGCTCCGGGAAGGCAGAGTCGCCCATTCAGCTGATTGAATAGGGGACTGAAACAGGGAGCCAGACCAGGAGATTCCCAGGCAAAAAAGGGCCACAAATCTCAATGCCGCTGTTTCAGCTGGCGCAGTGGGTCACCACAAGGGAAATTATACAGATTCCAGTGCCCTTTCAACAGGCGACTGGAACACCTGGGAGAGAATTGACCATTCAACAACAACAACAACAACAACAACAACAACAACAAAAAATGGCTCTGAGACAGGGAGCCAGGTGATCAGGCTCAGCTGGTCCCACCCCCACGAAAAAACAGCAATTGAAAACGCTGAGGATTGAGAGTTTCACAGCAAGCACAGCTGAAGCAGGGAAGGTCCAGCTTTTTGGGGGAGGGGTGTCCACTGAAGGACAATGAAGAAACAGAAAAAACTTCATCACCAACAAGTTGGACGTCCACTCAGAGACCCAATCTGCAAGTCAGCAATTACAAAGATGACAGGTGGATAAATCCATAAAGACGGGAAGAAACCAGCACAAAAAGGCTGATAACACCCGAAATCAGAATGCCTCTTCTCCTACAGGGGGTCGCAGCTCCTCATCAGCAAGGGAACAAGGCCTGATGGAGAATGAGTGTGACAAATTGACAGAATCAGGCTTCAGAAGGTGGATAATAAGAAACTTCTGTGAGCTAAAAGAACATGTTCTAACCCAATGCAAAGAAACTCAGAACCTTGAAAAAAGGTTTGACAAAATGCTAACGAGAATAGACAATTTAGAGAGGAATATAAGTGAATTAATGAAGCTGAAAAACACAATACGAGAACTTCACAAAGTATGCACAAGTTTTAACAGTCAAATTGATCAAGCAGAAGAAAGGATATCAGAGGTTGAAGACCAACTCAATAAAATAAAATGAGAAGACAAGATTAGAGAAAAAAGGGTAAAAAGGAATGAGCAAAGTCTCCAAGAAATATGGGACTATGTGAAAAGACCTAATCTACGTTTGATAGGTGTACCTGAATGTGACAAAGAGAATGAATCCAAGCTGGAAAATATTCTTCAGGATATTATCCTGGAAAACTTTCCCAACCTAGCAAAACAGGACAACACTCAACTCCAGGTAATACAGAGAACACTACAAAGATATTCCTCAAGAAGAACAGCAACCTCAAGGCGCATAATCGTTAGATTCACCAGGGTTGAAATGGAGGAGAAAAATACTAAGGGCAGCCAGAGAGAAAAGTCAGGTTACTGACAAAGGGAAGCCTATCAGACTCACAGCAGATCTCTCAGCAGAAACCCTACAAGCGAGAAGAGAGTGGGAGCCAAAATTCAACATCCTTAAAGAAAAGAATTTTCAACCCAGAATTTCATATCCAGCCAAACTAAGCTTCATAAGAGAAGGAAAAATAAAATTCTTTGTGAAGAAACAAGTACTCAGAGACTTCATCACCACCAAGCCTGCTTTACAAGAGCTTCTGAAAGAAGCACTACACATAGAAAGGAACAATCAGTATCAGCCATTCCAAAAACATATCAAAAGGTAAAGAGTATCATCATAATGAAGAATCTACATCAATTAATGGGTGAAACAGCCAGCTAGCATTAAATGGCAGTATTAAATTCACATATATCAATATTAATCCTAAATTTAAGTGGACTAAATGCCCCAATCAAAACACACAGACAGGCAAATTGGATAAAAAGCCAAAACCCATCAGTATGCTGCATCCAGACCCATCTCACATGTAAGGATACACAAAGACTCAAAACAAACAAACAAACAAACAAAAACCAGAAGTTGCAATTCTCATCTCTGATAAAATACACTTTAAAGCAACAAAGACCAAAAGAGACAAAGAAGGATGTTACATAATGGTAAAAGGATCAATGCAACAAGAAGAGCTAATGATCCTAAATATATATGCACCCAATACAGGAGCATCCATATACATAAGGCAAGTTCTTAATGACTTACAAAGAGACTTAGACTCCCACACAATAATAGTGGGAGACTTTAACTCCACATTGTCAATATTAGACAGATCAACAAGATAGAAAATTAACAAGAATATCCAGGACTTGAACTCAGACCTGGAACAAGTAAACTTAATGAACATTTGCAGAACTCTCCACCCCAAATCCAGAAAACATACATTCTTCTCAGAATCACATCACACCTATTGTAAAAGTGACCACAAAATTGGAAGTAAATCACTCCTCAGCAATTGCATAGCATTTCACAGGTTTAAATGAAATATTGGTTGGCTGCTTGTTTGTTATTTTCCTCCCTTATTCCTTCCTGTCTCCATTGTTAAGCACAATTATCGGCATAAAAGAGGTTTTTAATACCTATTTTTAGACTGCATTCTAACCTGGGCAATAGAGGAAGATTTCCATTCTCTTGCCCTCTTTCTCTTCCTCTTTCTTTCTTTCATACTTTTTTCTTTCTTTATTTATTTCTCTTTAAAAAGAAAAGAAAATTTTCAGTAAAGAATGTTCACATATTTTGAAAAAACTGTGTGTGTTTAAATATACAGTTAGCCATCCATATCTGTGGATTCCACATCTACAGATTAAACCAACTATGGATCACAAAAAAAAAGATGTCATTGTGTCTATACTGGACAAGTATAAACGTTTTTCTTATTATTATTCCATAAACAACACAGTATAACAATTATTTGCATAATATTTATATTGTATTAGGTATTATAAATTATCTAGAGATAATTTAAAGTATATGAGAGGATGTACACAGGTATATCATGTACTCTGATACTTTATATAAGGAACATAAGCATCTGTGGATTTTGGCATCTGATGGGGGTCATGGAACTAATCCCCCACAGATATCAAGGGACAATTATATAGGTACATGTGTATCTATACACATACACAAACATACACATTTACATATATATGCACATAAATATTACATGTACATACATATACATGTATTTATACATATATATATAGCGCATTTTATAGTTTACATTTACATTATGAATGTATGGTATGTAAATTATGCATGGTTACTTTAATACTTTACACATTTTTATATACCCTTTATATCTATAATTAATATTCATTCATATTAATTTCAGAAATAATAATTCAAGATTTCAGTTAATTTAATAATATGACTTGCCTTTGAAATACCTCATTATATTTTTGCCAGCAGCAGAATAACTTTGTGTTTGGACCCCAGTCTTTTCAAAGTGTTGATGAAATGGCCTGGGTCTCACTACCATTGAGGTCAGCTTACTAGAAAATCAGACACTGGCTGCAAATAACTCAGCTATTACCCAGCTAATCCAGTGTTATAGTCATTTGTAAATTCAAATGCTTGTATATAGCACCTGGTTGACAAAAATAACTTGCCCCCTTTTATGTTGTATGATGATGTTATTTATAGTTGCCACCAATATTATTAAAAATAGTAAATACGCAATATATTTTTGTGGAATATATAGAAGAATGAAGGAATAAATGATTTACTAGTTGGTCCAGGTTAACTTCTACATTTACAGAATTTATTTTTCTTTAATATAGAAAAAAATGAGCTCTTTAAACTTTTTCTGAGTTGTTGAGCTTCTGAGTGAACCTTAAGACGAGTATATGCAAAAGATTTAATATAAAAGACAGTGTGTGGGTACTAGTACTTAAACATAGTACTTGGTAATGTGAACATTAAGATTTCATTAAATGAAAACCTACCGCAACCATATTTTTGTTGAAGCATATAAAGCTCTTCTAATACATGGTTGTCTTAAAAGATTAACGTCTATTACTTGAATTGCTATTAAAGGCATGAGACAATTTCTTCCACCATTCTTAGTAGTATATCAACATTCTAGAACTTTCTCTAATCCTACTTCTGCCCCATAAGGAATGTCTTTTTTTCGTATTTCAATTTCTGACTGGATTATCTCTTTAAACCTTAAAATAAATGTAGTTTTTTAGAGAAACTGCTCACAAAAAGAGGAAGAAAGGAAGATCGGAAAAGGGAAGCAGATATATTCAGCAGAATCCTAGCTAATCGCACAGCATATAGGAAACAGTTTGGAAGAAAACTTGCCAACATGAATGAGGATGGTTTCTGGCAAGTGGAATTATGGATGATTTGTTTTTCTTACCTATGTCTACGTTACTTTCCAACATTGTTCCAGCTGGTACGACTATCTAAGTAATGAGGAAATAAGTGATAAAAGAATGTGGGGAAAATGGAATGGGAAATAGCTGGTTTTACTTTCAATGTGATTCCTCTTTTGAAAGGATCCTGGTGTTTAAAAGGCTGATGTAGCTGAGAAATATTGCCAACTGAACTTCAGGGGAAAAGATAAAATCACTTCCTTTGGAGTAAAATCACTCCAAAATGATGAAGGCTGCTGGTAATTATTGCCTGTTGGAGGGCGCAGATTGTTATTGCAAGGCTCATGTGAACCCCTGTGAAGAAGTCAGTACCACATGCTGCTATAATTTGGAATATTATGTGAGAAAAAGCCCATTTTCAGAGTATCCCCTTTGCTGTGATTGATTTCTTTCTCCCTTCGCAAGTGTTAGAGATTCATAATGTCCTGGCTGATAAGGCTATAGTTA